TTATTTAAGCTCTGTCACTTGCTGTGCTAATGTATATATATATATATATATATATATATATATATATGAAATTCAAGACAAATATGTTTATAAACAACATCGAAAACAATTTCAGTTTAATGAAATGTGATTTGTAATTCACAGCAATTAAGATTGTGTGACTGAATGACTGCAAAATGCATGACTGCATTTATTTTGTTATTTTCATTTTACTCATAGTCCCAACTTAGCGCTTTCATAAAATGGTAGTTATACATTCATCCCTGGTTGGAGACCTTGAGCAAACATATCAGGAAGGGCTGTGTTGTAACACACAAAACAAACTTGTTCCTGCATCCTGCCTTTGTGAATGTTTATTACCTGAGGCTTCTAGTTCTTACTGTGTTGGTCCTTAAATAAAAACACCTTCCTTTTTCTGTCAGGTAAAGCCTTTGACACTGCTGAGGCTGTGAATGCTGCTGTTTCCAATATCATCTGTTCGATTGTTTATGGTAAAAGATTTGAATATGATGACCCAGAGTTCAGAGTGATGCTGAGTCGAGCTATTAGGAATACTCAACTCCTGGGCTCTGCTTCAGTGCAGGTATGATAACAATCTGACAGAAACAGTTCTTCACATCCTCACTCCCTGTCACTTGTCAGGTTGTTTTGCTGCTCACTGCTACTTACTACTACTCCTTTACATGTTTGTAATTATTTGTCTTTTTGTTTTGTTTTTTGTCTTCTTTCTAGTACCTAGTCTAGTTTCCATTGCTTATAACCTGTTGGAATGGTTTTAGAACCCTTCTTATTGTCTGCCTGTTTGCCTTTCCGACTGCTGACCTCATGAGCCTGATTAACCTTTGATTAAAAATGTAGATTTTGTCTTGCTCTTGTCTCCTGTGTTCTAAGTTCAGTAGATCAGCATTACTATTTACCTTTAGTCAAAATGCAGTTTTAGTGTAAATTCAGAATGTTAAAAGAAGACATTAAGGCCAATAGTATTTAGTCATTACAAAGTATCTGCAAAATCATAACCATGTCATCCATGCCCTGCCACGAACAGGATTTGAGGTTCTCTTATCTAAATCGAAGATTAATAGCAACAGGATATCATCTCCAGTTATGCAATTTTCTATAATTAAACATATAAATACAATGTATTTGTTAAACTGGTAATGTGTGGTGAATCTAACTTTCTTGTTTATTCAACAGTTGTATAACTACTTTCCAATGATGTTCAGTTGGGTTAAAGCCCGCAAAGAGCTGATAGAGAATGCCTTTGCTAATAGAAGACAGATCGCAGCATTGATCAAAGGTTTAGAGGACACCCTTGATCCACAGATGTGCAGAAGTTTGGTGGATTCATTTCTCGCTCGGAAGATTCAGCTTGAGGTAAGACCTAAATTTGATTAAATACCTTTCCAAAGTAATCTTATTACTGAGACTTATTTCTTCCCTTTTTTCTACTTGTAAGGCATCTGGAAATATAGATAAAAATATAAGTTCTCACTATCACGAAGACAACCTACTGATTACTGTTGTCAACCTATTTACTGCTGGCTCAGAATCTACATCTATTACTATAAGATATGGCTTAATGCTCATGGCCAAGTACCCTGAAATACAAGGTAAGAAATATAATACACTTATTTACTGGTGATGCTTCATTCACCAGATATCTGGGCAATGTGGAAATGAAACAAAGGTATTTTAAGTGAAAAGAAAGAAAAATCAAAAAACAACATTTTCATAAAATTTAGACCGGGTTATGCAGCTTTTTCTAACAGGGGAAGAAAAGATGGTGAGAACCACTTACGTCAAATAAAAAGCAAATGTGAGAAATGATTTAGAACAAAAACACAGTCCTACTCATGGGCAAATAGCCATTGTCTAGTAACCCAGAATACTGTCAAACTGGCTCTCTGGCAATACTCATCATTTCCACTCCCTGGTCTATTTACTTATTAGATTACTACCTACTACTGGGTAAGAATAAGATGGTGGCAGATAAAGAAGGTCGGAAAAAACAATACCAAACACAAAACCAATAACAAACCACAGTAGGCTTGCCATGGCTTCACCGGGAAGGAGTTCACTGTATATTGTGAAGATATATTAGCAATCAAGAAATTGAAGCATATAAAACATAATCAACTGTTTCTCTTTTAAAGTATGTTCTTCATTTTATTTATGAAAGAACTAAATCTCATGACTTCCAAAAACTTATACGATCACATTTGGATGTAATTTGTCCAAAATCTGAATTTTTGTTATTCTGACTAACATAGGTTTGCTAGATGTCCCTTTTACTTAGCTCCAGCAGTGTGCAGAATACTGCAGATATAAACATGAATTCAAACCTAACAGCAAATTAATAAATTGCTCTTAAATAGAATAATTTGTGTAACAACACTACTACAGTTTCAATCATTACTTGGTTTGTTTTTTTGTTCTTTTTGTAGACAAAGTCCAGGAGGAACTGGATCAGGTAGTAGAAAATCGCCAGGTCCGAGTGGGAGACAGAAAGAGCCTGCCGTTCACTGACGCTGTCATCCATGAAATACAAAGAGTGATTAATACTACGCCTTTTATTGTACGTTGCGTTTCACAAGATGTCACCTTTCAGTCCTACTTCATCAAGAAGGTAAAACAAAAGTCAAACAGTCCCAGTTCTGAACCAATTAGTGACACTGTACACATCTACATTTTTATTTTTTTTAAAAATGACACGTGAGTGCAGAACAAACAGCATCAAGAGTAACATGAAACTAACACACTGGGCTCTATAGGACCCTCACCAAGACGTACAGGCTACTATGTAGGATAATGACTTTTGTTCAGACTTCACTGTAAAATCGAATTAGTTCCCAGAACTCAAAAGCATTAAGGAAACTCGTTGCCTCAAAAAAAATTGAGTAAAGCTTAGCTAAAAATGACTAAATTAGGACAACTTATTTATTTTGAGTACTCTGTACAAGCTCATTTGTTCCCAGAACTCAAAAAATTGGATCAAGTTTACTTAAGATGACTCATTTTGAGTACACTGTACAGCCTTGTTAGTTCCCAGAACTCAATAAAATTAAGGAAACTCGTTGCCTCAAAAAAACTAAGTAAAGCTTACTTAAGATGACTGTTAGGACAACTTATACATTGCAAGTCTGCAGTATTAAGAATAACTTGATATTTCTGACTGTACAATACTAATTGTTTACCTACTGACAAACATTTCAAGTTCAACTAAATGAAAAAACAATTTGTGGTACCATGAATATGATTAAAAATAATTAACAACACTTTTTGTGATGATGTTAAAATGAAGTTTTATTTTCAAACACAACAAAGTATAACAGCCAACATACTGGACACTGTTCTGCTGTGGGAACTAGTGTGTTAGCGCAGTTAGCTCGTTAACGTGTTGGCCATCTAGCTCGTTAAAGGAGATTGCCTTGTTGTGGCGTTAACGTCATTTCAACGAGATTAACGCTGACAGCACTAGTGGGAACACAACGAATATGACTACACATTTACGCTGACATCACCCTAGTGCAAAGACAAGTGGAAGCAGACAAAAACAACAAGCA